ATTTCTTCTCTAATAAAATTATTATTATTATTAGTGAACTCTCCAAGTGCTTAGGTGGCAAACAATTACTTTTGAATTGCCATAATATTATGTATAGATAGATAGATAGATAGATAGAATTCATTTATACCAAAGAAATGTTAGATTTTATTTTGAATAGTCACTCGAAATTATATATCTATCAAATTTCTTCTCTAATAAAATTATTATTATTATTAGTTAGATAATTCAATTTTTATTTACTTTAACTTCAAACATTCTATCATAATTCAAGTTTCAGTTCCAGTATTCATCAAAATTTTCAGCTAAATATATTTTATTTTCAGGTTTTATTTCTCAAAAAACGATAGTTTCATTTCCTTCCAAATTTGTTTTGTCATTATAGACTTCCCATCCGCTAGCGTGCCATGCTTTTCTTGCTACTTTACTGGGTTTAAATGATTTTATAATTTTAACATTAATTTAAGGATAAATACAATATATTAGCCACAACTGTTAATAAACAGAAAATTATAGCCACAACTATGAAAATACAAAATATTAGCCATAACTATAGTTGTGGGTTAAGATATGGCTAACAGTCCGTTACCGCTGTTAATTTTGTAATGGAGACTGCCACGTCAGCATCCATATTAGCGTCCACATCAGCAAATCATTAAATATATAATTTTTTATGTTTTAATTATTAAAACTTAAAAAATAAAACTCGCAACCACCAATGTAGTCAAAATTGCGTTTTAAAAATTAAAAACTTACGCTTTTACATTTCTAGGTCATTAAAACGCTTCTTTACAAAATCTCAGTTTTTATAACTTATGTAGTTAAAAACTCCGCTTTAAACTTAAAAACTTACGATTTTACGCTTCTAGATCACCAAAACGTTTCTACGTAAAACTCGCACTACATTGGCAACCACATCCCACCGAAGATTCTCGTCGAGGGAGTCGAGCATCCCCTTCCAGTCGTCGCCGTCGTGGTACTCCCTCCATGAGCAAGCCAGGCTGTTCCACAGATTCCAGATGCTTGGAATAAGCCTCTCTACGACTGCATCGCCTTCTCCTTCTTCAACACAAACCAGAACCATCGGTCTCCCAATCCCTCCGCAATCCCCAATAAAATAAAAAACTCTCCTAATCCTCCGTGAAACTAATACTACTCCACCCGCGCCTGGAATGTTGAATTGTTAGCTAGTCTTTTTGTGCCAGCATCGGTGAACTTAATTATGGCTATCCCTTTACCTATGCAGGGTTCTCCGGACAAACTCATCTGGCACTATTCTCCAACGGGAGAGTACACTGTCAAAACCGGATATCATTTGCTCACAGATGAGCTGCTGGCTGCTCATCCACCCGCCGTCTTACCCTATGATTGCAGGTTTTGAAAGGTGCTGTGGAGTCTTCCTCTACCGCCTAAACTGAAATGTTTTTGGTGGAGAGTGGTTCGGGGCTTCCTTCCAGTTCGAGCTGTTCTTCAAATCAAACGGCTGGTCACGGACTCTGTGTGCCCGGTTTGTGATGATGGGGCCGAGACTATATCCCACTCCTTTCTAAAGTGTCGGGTGGCTGTGGAGCTATGGAGGCTTGCTGGTTTAAGCAACTTACGAAGTAGGTTGGAAGGTTTGTCGCCTGCTGATTGTTGGATTGAGTTATTTTTTGAATGTCATTTATCCAAGTCTGAGATTGCTGATGTTGTATTCCTTTGCTGACGAGTGTGGAAATCGCGTTGTTGGGCCATTCACAAACACATTCAATACTTGGGAGGCCCCTTGTTTCGGCAATTTCGTGCGCAGGTGGAGGAGTGGCAGCATGCGTCTTCTCCGTTGATCTTGCACAGGTCAGGGAGTGGGCCATCTAGCTCACGGAGGAGTCTGGAATCGGGAGCGGGTCGGCGGACGGTGGCCGGGATGTGTCCCCCCAATGGAGTTCTTGTCCGATTTGATGGAGCTTGGAAGAAGGAGGTTGGGGGTGGAATAGGATTTGCCGGATTCTCCAGCAGTGGGGAACTTCTCTTCGCGTTCGGTCGATTTTATCCAGGTGTGTCTGAACCTTTTATAGCGGAATTGTTAGCTCTTCGAGATGCGATTAATTGGTGTGTCATGCATGGATTTGTTTCCGTCAATTTCTGTGGAGATTGTCTACCATTGATTCGCAGGATCCGGATGAAGGATGTGGCGCATGGAACAGGGGGGCGATCCTGAAGGAGGTCTGCTTGGCGGTTTCTTTGTTTTCTTTCTTTGATTGTAATTTTACCCCGAGGTTGTACAACAGGGCCGCCCATTTAGTGGCTACTAGTGCCCTTTCATCGACAGTTCGACTATTTGTCGACTGTCGCGTGTGGTTATCAAGTGTCCTGTAATATCTAGAACATTCCCTATCTATGACAAAAAAAAAAAAAACTAATACTACTCCACAAACCCAATAAAACCTAAAGGCTAAAACTCATATAATCCTCACAACCACAACTACCACTCCCCAAAAGCCAAACTTCCTCGGGAGCAATTCCATTTTCTGAGTGTCGAGATAGAGGCTGATTGGATCTAGAAGCTACCCGATATTGAAATTTCCGGCGCAGCAGAGGGTCGCAACTCCGAGATTGCCAAGTTGTGTCGGAATAAGAGGACAACCGCGACTCTGGGATTGATTGTTTTTGGATGTTTGATTGGGGGTTGGTGTAGAAAATCAAAGCTTAGCGGTCGTGGTTGTACGTTGTTGGATTTGGCGTGCCTTTGTTCTTGGCGACGAATGCAGTGAAAGAGAGAGAGAGCAGGGCCTAGTAAGACAACCCCCCCCCCCCCCCTCCAACAATCACTTCCTTTCGCATCCTCACCCTTGGATCCTCCACGGTCGTCGCCTCCTTAATTCAATCGAGATTTGGAGATATGATCTGGAAATTTCTGACAAACGGGCAAGACTTGAAGAAGAATGAATTTTTTTTTATTTCCTCTGTTTCCGGCTTCAGCGTCTAAGACCATCCACAATGTGGGTGGGAGGGAAAGGTAGGAAAAAAGTGAAAAAAAGGGGAGCGGGAGGTTTTGGTCACAATGTAAGGGTGAGAAAATGGGTTAATTGGTTTAACACTTTTGAATTAAAATCAATCTCTAGTTAATTTCGTCACTTTATTTTTATATAATGATCATTATTTTTACGTAGTTAGTGATAATTAATTAATAAGAATATTTTGAATTTTTTTTAATTTGGACATAATTTTTTAATCACTAATTAAATATAACGTCATTGATTTTGTTCGTTGGGGGATAAAATCAATCAAAACATCTCACAATAAAAAAAACCATTAAAAAAATAACTTAGAACAAAATAACAAACAAAATAAAATAAAAAAGAAGATATGTGCGGGCTCGGCAGTGGGCTCTTCACCCCTCTCTTGCATCCCTCATTTGTTTGCTAGTTGTGTGAGTATTACCCCTACTTTTCCTTTTTTCCCCATTTTCTCCACTTTACCCACCCACGTTGTGGGTATTTTTTTCCTTTTTCCACCCACGTTGTGGGTAGTCTTAGCGAAGAAGCATGGATTAGTTTTTTTTTATATTTTTAAATTATTAAAAAATATATATATATATTTTTTAGATAAGGGTGATATAGGTTAATTTTTTATTATTAGGTACTACTTAAGGGACTTGAACCTGAGACCTCCAGGTTCATGGCTAGTGGTATTACCACTAGACCAATCCCTTGTTCGTAAATTATTAAAAAATATTATGTGTCAGCTTTTTTAGGCCAGATCAACATTGCAGGCAGACTTACTAACGGAGTATTAACAGACAACTAACGAATGACTAATATTTTGTATTTTCATAATTGTGGCTATAATTTCTCGTTTATTAATAATTGTGGCTAATATATTGCATTTAGCCCTTAATTTAATTCTGAATTTTCAAGAAGCTTATAGAGTTTACAAGTCACTTTTTAGATTCTAGATAACTGAGTTTCAATATCAACTGCATCTCATCCATGAAAAAAACTCACCGAACCACAGATGAGTTCTTACTTCTTACTTTTTATTGATCAATACGCCTTACTATAAATCTTCTTATTTCAATTCACATTACTAATCATGTTTGTAGCCCTATGGTATTGAACAATGAAAAGTTCTCTTGTTAGAGACAAAACACTTAAAAGGTAAAATTTTTAGGTATTTTGTGCTCATTCACGTCATTTGGTGCTTATCAACGTAATCAGGGGTGGACCCAAGCTGATGCTTGATTTGTCAATGACAAAGCTTGAATAAACTTTTTGGAGTAAAAGCTTGTGTGAAATTTTATTTTAGTGATTGTAGTATTTGAATTCAAGACTATGTGACAACCCTTAGAAATTTTGGTTTACAGTTGAATACTCTTGATGAAATTTTGGGGTCCGCCACTGAACGTAATACAATGTCTATTCACGTAAGAGTGTAAGTTATTCACGTCAATTTGAATTCAGACTTTTTCCTCCTAATAATTTGTATTGCCTATATTTTACGAAAATTAGATTTGGATTCTCAATAAATCTGTAAAAATGTGTTATATTTCAAACTTTGAAATTTGATTTTACAACGGCATGAATGAATAACAATATGCGTGAATAAACATCAGGTTGCGTGACCTAACAATATCGGTTGCGTGAACAATCAACACTCTTACGAACAAGGGCTTGGTCTAGTGGTAATAACACTAGCTTTGAACCAAATCCCTTCAGTAGTACCTACCTAATCACAAAAAAGTAAACCTATATCACCCTTATCTAAAAAAAAAAGAATAATCAACACTCTTACGTGAATAAATGGAGAAAAAAATACTTGAATTATGTGTTTTTGTCTCTAGTGGTGCCAAGAGACTTGATTCATTGAACAAAAATAAACATTGTTTTTGCTTTTTATGAAAATGTTACAAAGACTTTGTGACATGAAATTGGTAAATCTACAGGCAGAGAGAAAGAACACAAACCTTGATAACACAAGAAAACAAAAAAAAAAAAAAGAAACAAAGTCCAACAATGAAGCAGCTAGCCAATCTTCCCTGGATTCGCCGCCGGAACCCCATCGTCCTTACGCGAAACCAGCAGCGCGTCGCCGGACCATGCCGACCCGGTCGACGACCCCGTCGTGTAACTCGGATACGAAACATCCGTCTTCCCTACTTCCCCGTCCTTCGTCGTCGTCGTATTATACGTGAACCTACACAGATCCAGCGGAGGCGCGTAGTACATCGGCACCGGCAACTTCGACGGCAGGCTCGGCCGCGGAGCATCAAAATTGAGCACCCCAATCACCTGCCTGATCGACGGCCGATTCGCCTCGTCAGGATGACAACACCACAACCCCACAATCATCAATTGCTCCGCCTGATCCCGATCGAACTCCCCCTCCCCGCCGCCCCCAGCCGCCGCCGCCGCCAGCCTCCAGTCCACCGCCTCAAGAATCCGCCCGCTCCCGTACAAACCCCAAACCCACTCCACCAGCCTCACCTTCCTCAGCTCCTGCTTCGGATCCACAGGCCTCCTCCCGCATGCAATTTCCAGCGCCACCACTCCGAAGCTGTAAACATCCGATTCCTTGCTTGCCCTCCCCGTCGTCACGCACTCCGGCGCCAAATACCCCATCGTCCCGGCCAGCACCGTCGTCTGCGAGCCCAATTCGTGGTCCACCAGCCTCGCCAGCCCGAAATCGCCCAATTTCGCGTTGAATTGCGAATCCAGCATCACATTGCTCGACTTTATATCTCTATGAACGACGCACTGCTCCCACTCCTCGTGGAGGTACAGCAGCCCCGACGCCAGCCCGAGCGCGATCTTGTACCTGACGGACCAGTTGAGCATCAATTTCTCGCCGAACAGGTGCTGGTCGAGGCTGCCGTTGGGGAGGAACTCGTAGACGAGGAGCAGCTCGCTCTTCTCGTGGCACCAACCGATCAGCTGCACAAGGTTCCTGTGCCTCAGCCTGCTGATGATCCGCACCTCGGAGATGTACTCTTTTTTCCCCTGCCTCGATCCTCTCGAAACCCTCTTCACCGCGGCGGATTGGCCGCCGCCGAGCAAGCCCTTGTACACTCCGCCGAACCCTCCTTCCCCGAGCTTCCCCGAATCCGCGAAATTGCCCGTCGCCCGGCTCAGTTCCCTGTAGCTGAATCGCTTCGGTCCGGTCCCCTTTTCGAATTCGTCGTCCATCGCCACGTCGATTCCGTCCTCGTCGTTTCCTCTGCAAGCTCTGATTCTCCGGTAGAGGAACAGAACCAGGACGAATCCAGCAATCAACAGGCCGAACGTTACTCCCAAGCCGATCGCTACTCCCGGTAATTTGGAGGTTTTCGGGGTCGGGGTCTCCAAGGTGGAATCGAATTCCCAGCTGAAAACGTTGTGGATCTGAGTTGAAATCCCCGTGGAAGCGGAGAAGCCGACGGTCACGAATTCGGGCAGGACTTCGCGCAGATCCACGGCGTACGAAAGGCTGGAGGTTCCGTTGTAGACGGGGTTTTCGGCGTAGGTGAGGTAGACGCTCAGGTTCTTGGTGGTGGAATTGTAATTCACCCAGGCGTTGGCCATCCTGCCGTCCTTGATGCTGCTGTTCCATGCCTTGGACTCGACGGAGCGGATCGAATTGACGTTGATCCCGACGTGATCGTCGCTCGGATCCCAGGAGTTCCGATTGCTGTCGAACTCGACCGCCACGATCTGGTGGTCCCTGGTGGCGTTGAGGGCGGTGTCGGGGCCGAACAGGGCGAGGAACCCGTCGGTGGAGTTTGCCGGGATCTCGGAGCCTTCCGGGGCGAGGAAGAACGTCATTCCGTCGCCGTAGCGTTTGGTCAGGTTGGTTGCTTTCATGGTGAATGTGAAGTGCGTGGTGAAGTCCGTCAGCTCCCCTGTTTTGGAATCCCACAGAGGGATGACCTGACGGAACGTGGCGCGGCCGGCGCTCCTTCTCAGGCTCTCCCCCACGGCGTTCTTGGTGAGCTGGAGGACGCCGCTGGAGGAGAAGGAGTCGCCCTGGAAGTTGATGTTGATCATGTTGGGGCTGAAGTTTGCGAACTTGAAGGAGACGGAGTGTACGAGCGACGGCAGAATTGTGAGGAGGATGGCGATGGTGAAGAGAGCCATTTTCCTGGGAAGTGGAGGGAAACAGAGGAAGTCAGGGGAGTGGAGGCTGTGGATGCATTTGGGGCTCTGATTCAACTGTTGTTGCTAGTTCGAGAAAGGAGCCAGTGACGCGATTAAGAACAGTTTAATCATCTAGGGGACTTCGTCCCCTGACGCGCAGATCAGGACGGTTGAGAGTATCGTTTGCAGGTTGCAAATGTGAAACCTGTGACTGAGTCAATGACATACATACCTCGCAGGCCATTTGGTTCTTTCAGGGATGAGTAAAGCTGCTCTTCCGAATGAATACAACAAAAAGATGATATAATCAATACCAATCCATCTATTTAATCAATGAATTAAATGAAGAAAGTTAAACAGCTTAAGATGAGTTCTAGTGGTTGGATTTTTATGCTCGACAAGGTGAAGCCACACCGATGGCCACGCCACAGCAAGTTTTCGTCATTTGTAGGGCTGGAGATCGATTTCTTAATGATTCTGATGAGTCATGTTCAAACTAGCATACCAAATTACAGGGTCTTCAAGTTTGAGAGTCAGAGTCGGACAATAATGAACGAGCTGCCCAACTCTGATCAGACCGTAATGGCTTCTAAGTTCACCGTGTGATTAATAGCACGGCCAACCACTTAGTATAGCACTAAGGCCAGTATATAGAGACACTTTAGTACGTTGTGATATTGTTCGCATCGTTTAGCTTTTGCTAATTATACGAGTCTTAATATTTATGGACTTCTTAACTTATATTATGACCGTTGTGGAGAAAGTTTTTGTCACGTAGGACAAAAAAAGCTCCACATTTTTCCATGGTCATGTTGGAAATTTGGTCGAACCAGGTAATATGGGCTAGACCGGTTGGACCAACCAAGACCAAGTTGAAATTTGGTGGCATGCAAATTGTTTTGGAATTGTGTTCATTTAAATTTGAAAGCCACCATTCCATGTAATGTTTGCCCCATTGGATAGTTTGCTCCACGTTGCCTTGGCTTGCCATGCATGGCAACTGTTCATGCAATTTAATAAGGCAATGTAACGCTTCATGAAATAAAATGGAGGTTTAGTTTGATAATGGCTACGGTTGGGAGACTTTGCTCCATGAAGAGATGCATCTTTTCAGGTGGCAAATTGTATGGTTCCTGCAACCGGCAAGCCAATCGAATTAAACAAACCTTTCCTCGTGGCAACAATTCATTTGAAATGAATAGACATGTTGCTTGGCGAGAAATTTTACAATGCTAAATAGTATTGGTGCTATAGGTTTTTGCCTTTATGGTACAACTTAAAATTGTACATTTACGTTATGGTACAACTTTAGATTGTACCAATACTTTTTGTACAAATTCTTTTATGGTACAACTTGAACTTGTACCTTTATGTGATGGTACAACTTCAAGTTGTAAAGTTGTACCATAACATAATGGTACAAATTGCTTTATGGTACAACCTAAACTTATACGTTTAATGTTATGGTACAACTTTGAGTTGTACATTAAAGCACCAATACTATATAGCATAGTAGAAGTGCTCGTTGCTTGGCCAAAAGCCAACCGATCAGGATGAAGGGTGGTAATCTTTCGATGCCTTCCATTGTCATCTATAAATAGATGGGATCGGTTGGTGGGAGGCAGAAACCATAATTCATTCTTTCTTCCTACTAAATACTTCTAAGTATGCTTTAGTTTCTTAAGCATAGATTCTAAAGTGGTGATAGTTTTATCCTACGAAGAAATTTCCTGTAATCCTAGGCTTGTTGAGGGTGAAAATATTCTTTACGAAAAGTGAACTTTGTTCACGACTCTATCATAATCCTAGTCACCCAGTCTCGGGCTTTCGTACAAATACCCTCGTCCATCTCTGTTTATCTAACAATCGTAAAGAATATTACTCTTGTACGATGGCTCATACTACTCCTTATAAGGAACCTTCTCTCCATGGAAAAATTGAGAAATTCGATGGGGAACATTTCCTTCGATGGCAGAAGAAGATGCGTTTTCTTCTTACTACTCTCAAGGTGGGGTATGTGATAAGTACCCCATGTCCGGAAGGTAACTTGGAGGAGGAAGGGGTCGACAATGAGGAATTGAAGAAGCGACTTCGTAAAATGAAGAAGTGGGAGAACGACAACTACCTTTGCGTAGGGCACATACTCAATGGTTTGTCGGACTCTCTATTCGACATTTACGAAATACATGCCAATGACTCAGAGCTTTGGGATGCATTAGAGGCAAAATATTTGGCCGATGATGCATCGACCAAGAAGTTCCTTGTAAGTAATTTCAACACTAACAAGATGAGCGATTCTCGCCCAGTGATGGAGCAATATAATGAATTGCTTCGAATCTATGGTCAGTTTACTCAACACAATCTGAACATGGATGAGGCGATCGCTGTGTCGAGCGTAATCGACAAACTACCACCTTCTTGGAAGGACTTCAAGCATATGCTTAAACACAAGAAGGAAGAGTTGGATTAACCCAACTCGGTACCCACTTGCGCATAGAGGAAAACCTCAGGGTGCAAGAGGGTGTGAAGCCAAAGGAATCTTCATCGGTTCACATGATGGAGATTGGAGAGTCTTCTTCCCAGAAGAAGGGAAAGAAACGTTCTCGCGACAAGGGCTATAACTCATCCAAGGCCGACAAAAATAAGAAAGCTAAGCCTACTTGTTGGAAGTGCGGGAAATCAGGGCATTTCAAGCGTGATTGTCACATGGAAAAATCAAAGAATAGTGGCAATCGTCATGTTGGGCAAGGATCTAACGATCAAGGCCCACAAGGTTGCATTTCCACTTTTGATTTTGAATTTGATCCAAATTCAGGTATGAATTACGTTTCACTAATTAATGAAGCATATTTTATACAGGATGATGATATTGCTTGGTGGGTGGACTCTGGAGCTAACATACATGTAAGCAAGGATCGCAAATGGTTCAAAACTTACAAACCAGTGGAAGACGGTTCTGTTCTCCATATGGGCAATGAGTCAACTGCTCCAGTCGAAGGACGTGGCACCGTAGAGTTGGAATTTACTTCCGGAAAGACTCTTGTACTTAGGGATGTGTTACATGTACCTAAGATATGAACATGCAAAAGCTGAATGAAACAAGTTTTCTCCCTTCCTTCATTTAGCCACTGCATAGTATAGGGCCTGGGATGCTTCAACATACTTAGCCCCAACTTCTTCACCACCAATGCACTCACTACGTTCATGCACCTTCCTCCATCTATGACCAACGGACATAGCTTCCTATTGACCAAACAATGAGTATGGAACAAGTTTTCTCGTTTCTCAATCTCTTCTCGATGCTGCACATTCAAAATTCGACGAGCTACATATGAATAGTTCCCTTGCATAGGCCGCTCTTCAGTTACCTCAAGTAGCTTGCCTGGAGGTGCTTTCATCTCTATGGTCTCATCTACTTCAGATTCTGAGGTTGCTTTCTTGATGTGTGCTTCTTCTTCAGTGTCAGACACATAATTCCATTTTCCAAGAGAATCAAAAACCTCTTGTTTGAACATTGGCTCGCAATGTGCCCTCGCTCATGACATTTAAAACAATGAATGCCATCGAACGAATTACCTTGCTTTTTTATTTCAACCTTGGCAGCCGGTATTGGTGATTCCTCCATAGGTTTAGGTTCTGTTGTGGTAGCTTGAGTAGGTATTGTGGAGCTAGGGGAGGGTAAGATCCTTCTCCTCTTCTATTGCCTCTCTACCTTACTTGCCATAGTCACCAATTCATCAAGCTCAACGAATGGTTTGATGTCATGAATTTTCTGATCCCTCGATTAAGCCCATATAGAAAATAAGCTATGGTAGCTTCCTTGTCTTCACGAACATCATCTCGAATTATCAGCATCTCCATCTCTCTATTATAATCTTCAATACTCTTGGGGCCTTTTCAAAGAAGTTGCAGAGCTTGATGCATCTCGTGTTGATGAGAGCTTGGTACGAATCTCGCAAGATGCATCTCATATCATCCATGTCTCAATAGACCTCTGTCGATTCCTTCTTCTCCTTGTGCACAAGTGATCCCACCAAACCATAGCATAACTAAATTCAAGAGCAGCTAGGGTAATCTTTCTTTTCTCTGAATAATGATGGCAGTAAAAAATCAGCTCCATCTTTCGCTCCATGTCGAGATATGCATCCGGGTAAGTTATTCCTCGAAATGATGGAATTTATATTTTCATGTTCCTCCTATCATCTTCTTTATCCTGTGGGTATGCACCTTCTTCCTCGTACTCGTCTCTTTCTTCCTCCTGTCGGAATTGTATTTGATTCCTTCTTGCATTGCGAAGCTGTCCTAGTTGTCGTTGTTGACAAATTTGAACATCAGTGGTGGAACTCGACCTACTATACCCTCTCTTCGTGAGCCCCCTCTTGGTTGAGGTTAGAGTTTTCGTCAATAGGGACTTGTACTTGTGGCGCTTGCAATCTTTGATATGAACCCAAATACCCTTTTCCACAAGTCTCCATTACTCGTTAAAGAAGCTGCCTCGGGTTGTTTGGCGAAGCTTGAATTTTGGCCAAGTAATGGAACTGGTTCAGGTAGCTCCCTTTACAAGCATGGTACTCACGTTTGGCTAGATGGAAATGGGCGTGGAAGGTTTTGTTTTGAACATGAAGACTCCCTCTCCAACCTTAAGTGCTTGGGAACTCGAGGGAAGGCTGGGAAGTACAGTTTTCGAGCTCACCAAATACCCATGTCAGAACGGGAAATCTGCCAGGAATTGTCTAAGGCATGGAGTAGTTTCGGGTATGCCACTTTGGAGTTCAATTCACGACAACGTGCTGGGAATCAAGTTTCATGGTTCATACCACATGAAAGCTTGTACTTTCTAAGCCAGAAACAAGGGGTTGGGTGATTAAAACCACAGCTGGAAGGCTGCCAACGAGGGCTCTGAAGATGGCATCAAGACTATGTTTTTCCTTACGTATTAAGTTTCCGTGTTGCTATAGGAATTGGACTGTTTTCACTTTCCTTGTTTAGTTTGGGTTTCT